TTATAAATGTTCAAGTCTTCATATTTCTAACTAATGTGGTACTTTCCCACACTACTCACACTTATTATTTAGTCATAATATTGCAAGTGATCATTGTTATACATTACACCTTTAAAGCCTATAATTAGAGTTAATAACTCTAAGCTCATATATGAAACTCGTAAACTACACATCATACCATGTAGTTTTATGACATGATTACGCATGAATACAATTATGACGAAATTTATCCCTAGCAAATTTTCTCTTTGTTAACAACGAAATATCCATTGATTTTATGACATTTACTTTTCCCCTACCAAACAACTTTAAACCCTTACTAAGAATCATAAAGCTGTTGAATATATTTTTAAACACAGCCACTCTTTGTGGATACAGTAATATTGCACTTGCTAATGCAAACTCACAAAATGACTTCAAAATTTTTGTTGTCCAAGTTATGAGCGGACATCAGATTCTTTTTCAGCGATTGAGCATGTGCATCTTCTTCATACCTTTCCCTCTTCCTCGGACTATGGATATTAGGAGGAGAGTAGATACCATTATTTACTTCGAAAATATGGGGAAGGAATATGTTTCATGTGTTATTGATAACTTGGAGATTTCTGGACCTCTTCTAGATCCTTCCACGGTGAAGGAATGGCATTTTTATGCAAAGTCGTATCATGCAAAGTGAGTAATATTATATGTTAATTCTTGGGAGTTTTGCTGCTGAACTATTTGGTAGATGTTGTTCAATAGTTCATTGGCTCCTTGCTAGACGAGATCCGCCTGCAAGAGTTGGAAGTCGGGGAGCGCTTCTCATCCAGACCTTATAGGCAGGAACAAATGTCTAAATGCAGGTTCACCTAGGTAAGGCACAAATATAGGTAATGAAGGAGGTTGAGACACTCCTTGGCTTGCTTTAAGTTAGACAGAGATTTGCGACAGAGGAACGGGAGGAATATTTGTTAAGACTCAATCATCCATCTGTGAGGAGGAGGCGGAGGATTCCTGAAAGCTTTGGCGGCTGCAACAAATTTTCGTTGGATGGTAGAGGGAGTGGCTTTAGAAGCTGCAATCAGTAGTATGAATCTAAACATGACATAATTGATCTAGAAACAAAGACACACACTTCAATTGAGGGAGATATAGATTTCTATAGAGGTTATTCAGTTGAGTTGATAAATTTTAGGTCGTGGAAAATTGTAGGAATCAGGAGTCGATCCCCACATACGAGACCAATGTCATGCTCCAGAACTAGATTTGATCGACGAGAATGAATTCAATGTCTCTTATGGTGGTTCGCTGCTTCTGATTCGGTGGATAGGGGCTGAACTGCAAGGTTAACACTCCAACTTTTACGTCACTAAGAGAGTGTTGAAAGCGACGTTTGAGTGGTAAAGGATTTGAATACCTGAAAATGACACAATTTCTTCTTTAAATAAGAGAATTGGTTAGCAATCAAACGCGTTTGATGAATGCACTATGTGGTGAACCTTTGGATTAATCTGAATGGTTAGGATAACACTTAAGAGGGAGATTTTTTGTTCATAGGGAAAAAATGCCAACTTGATCTTTGTTGAACGTTGCTCCCTATTGTTATTATGCTTCCATGTCTTTGGGTCTTCTTAACAGTCTGAAACAGTTAACAAATAAATCAATTACGCTATATGTACCCGCCAATTTATGTTATATCTTTTACTTACCAAAACATAAGTATAATCTATTTCGTCTTGATCAAATAAAAAATACATATTTATGGATACAATAATTACACTCGTCACTTATGGATTTTTGTTAACATAACTTACAATATATATATATATATATATATATATATATATATATATATATATATATATATATATATATATATATATATATATATATATATATATATATATATATATATATATATATATATATATATATATATATATATATATATATATATATATATATATATATATATATATATATATATATATATATATATATATATATATATATATAACCAAAGTATGGCAACATGATATTTTAACAGAGGATTAATTCATTAACTTTAAGTATGCATTTGAATTAGAGAAGACTGATGATAACTTGAGTACTCGTGACTAAGATGATAGCGATGATGGCAAGTATTAGAGCAAATTCTTCATGACTAAGACACATAATCATCGGGGTATCAAATAAATTTTTTCAAATTTATCTATAGACAAACCAATCCTTTTTGTTGAAGTTCCTTACTATTTCTAAAGGACAAATTACCTTGAATCTATTAAATTTTTTCTACACATGTAATAAATATTAAAAAATAAGTTATATTATTACATTGTATTATCATCAAAACTAAATTAAAGAGTATTCTTCTTCAAATCATTTTTGAGTCAAAATTCTCCCTCTATTTAATGATAAAAAGTTGTATTTTTATAAATAAATTTATCTTTTGAAGAGATTAAAAAAATCACGGAGGTCGGGACAAAAAGATATCAATAATAAGAAGTTATGTGGAATTTAATAATAATAAATTATATAAAAATTAATAAATAAATTACACAATAAAATGAGAATAAAAATGGTAGAAAAATAAACCACACCAAAACAAAATATTTCATTTATATATTGTATAGATTTACATTAAATACTCTTCTCCAGTGTTTGAAAAATATTTGCAAAAGTAAATATATATTTTACTTAAGTATTGTTCCAAAATAAAAATTAACTTAAAATAATAAACACAAACATATTTTTCATTAATAAAATACAAGTGACAAAAGTCAACTGAGGACATTGAGAATTACAAAACAATAAAACATTAAAAGAAGGGAAAGAATGTCATGCTAAATAATCTCTTAGGGCTAAATGATCTCTTAGAGAATGGAACAATGTTATTCGTTCAAGGTTTTTCAAAAAGTTGTAATAGGCGTGATACTCTTAATAATGATTTGAAAGATCACTTTGAAATGTTCCTTTAGAGTATATGCATTATGATCCTTTTTCTCCATAGTGAACAATGCAAGAATCACTTAGACAAATGTTAATGGTTTGTTCATAAACTTGAACAATAACTCTACCACGACATTCAAGTATTATAAATGGACAAGGTCTTTTGCATTTATTCTAAGTGTTTTTCATTGTGCAGAAGACGTGATACACTTATTGAGATTGGTTGAAAAAATATATATTAAAGAAGTCACACATCGCTTAGTTTTGTGAATTAAGAGAATCCAAAACTATATATAAACTACAAGTTTTTAGAAGTATCACATCGCTTAGTTTCCTGAACGAAGGGGGAGTCCAAAGTTATATATAAGATCCAAATTTTTCATTCCAAGAAGTACCAGTCAAAAACATTTTAAGTTTGTATTTGACTTTCTTTGTTCTCTTATACTTTTGTTTTAGAGTGTTGTGAGATGTAGTTAAGTATTAGTTTTCGAGGGTGTGGGTGTACTGGGGGTCTGAGTTTGTGAGGGTATATTATGTGTTGTAACAATTTTCACATAATGTTATTCTCTAGTTGTCTATTGACAACAATCGTGGTTTTTTCTCCAGTTTTGGAGTTTCCACGTTATGTTTTTATGTTGTGATTGTGTTCATCTTTTTTCTCTATGCTTTGTTTTTTCTAACAATTGATATCAACACTTTTGGTTCGATCCAGAATTAAGTGTTCTTAGTATGCTCTATGGTTGCAGTTTTGCCTGATTTTTCACATCAGAAAAGAAGGGTAGTGTTGTGAAAGAGTTGTTGAGTTGCAGCCACAAATTCCGCTGTGCAGTTTGGGCTAGAGAAAATTGATGAAAGAATTGTTTTTTACTTGTGGAAAGTTCAAGTCAAAGATATGTTGATACAATCAAGATTACACAAGGTGCAAGATTATGTCGATGATTGAAGAGCTTCCTGCCAACAAGGAAGTTGCACCATAATGTTTCAACCTGATTTTCGACATGTGAAATTTTTTGAAGTGGTTTACCTTCAAGTGAAGTATACTCTTCTTTAGGTGGAGTATGATATTTTTCAAAACTATGATTGTCGGTGATGACAGTGTAAAATTATTGGAATGATTTAGTTTCAAGTGACATTTATTCTTCATGATAAAGTATATGATTGTCGGTGATGACAATGAGAAATTCTTGAAGTGATTTACCTTCAAGTGAAATATGTTTTTCATGAGAGAGTATGATAATTTTTAAAACTATAATTGTCGGTGAAGACAATGTGAAAATTCTTGGAGTGGTGTAGCTTTAAGTGATTATACTCTTTATGATGGAGTATGATTGTCAGTGAAGACAATGAAAGTTTATGTATTATTTTCAATTAATATGGAGATTGTTGGGGTTAGTTGAAAATATATATGTTGTTACTCTTTATGGTAGAGCATGACTGTTGGTGAAGACAATGAAAGCTTATGTATTATTTTCAATCAACATGGAGATTTTTGGGGTTGGTTGAAAATATACATGTTGATGAAGTCCCACATCGCTTAGTTTTGTGAATGAAGAGGGAGTCCAAGGCTATATATAGGATACAAGTTCTTTGGAGTCCCACATTGCTTAGTTTTGTGAAGGAATAGGGAGTCCAAGGCTATATATAGGATCCAAGTTCTTCATTCCAAGAAGTACCAGTCAAAATCAATTTAAGCTTGTATTTGACTTTCTTTATTCTCTTATACTCTTGTTTTAGAGTGTTGTGCGATGTAGTAAAATATTAGTTTTGGAGGGTGTGGGTGTACTGGGGGCCTGAGTTTGTGAGGGTATATTATGTGTTATAACAATTTTTATATAATGTTATTCTCTGGTTGTCTATTGACAACGGTCGTGGTTTTTTTCTCTGGTTTTGGAGTTTCCACGTTATGTTCTTGTGTTGTGATTGTGTTCATCTTTTTTCTCTATGTTTTTTCCTAATAACATCGACATAATCTCACAACATAATTTGCATTAATGCCCATGTGTTAATCTGATAGCAATAACCCGTCCTTTTCCATGACAATAGAAATGTCATGAGGACACATTTCTCAATATTCAGAGAAGATCATCCTCTCTCACAGCGAGAGAGACATTGCTTGCATTTGACTCAGAGCTCTTCTGTGACACAACCTCGTTGGGACACTTATACTTTATATGTCCAAGCTTTCCACATTTCCAATATTTCACACCTGTTTCATTATTTTTCTTCACATACGACCTTCCTCTAGCAACCAACACTAAGTTTGATGAAGTATTCTCCTCACCCATCAATCTTCTTTCTTCAGAAATAATCTTACTAGAAAGTTCTTCAAAGCTCAAAGTTTCCTTCCCATATTATAAAACATGTTTAATCTGCTCATAGGAAGATGGAAGAGACCATATGAGTCTCAAAGCTTTATCATTATCATCAATCTTGACTCCAATAGTTTCTAATTCAGAAACAATATAATTTAGAACACTTAGATGATTAGATACTTTCGTATGTTCATCCATACACAAGCTATAAAACTACTCCTTCAACAATAAATGATTTGATATACCCTTTCCTTGATATAGCCCTTCAAGTTTCTCACAAAGCTCTTTGGCTAACGATGTACCAAAAACATTCGCAAGAATATTCTTAACCAAAGACATGTGGATCGTACTCGAAGCTCTCAAATTTGATTCCTCCCATTTCTCATTGTCCATGTTGGAAATGTTTCCTTTCAACACCAGTTGTTAGGAAAAAACAAACATATAGAAAAAAGATGAACACAGAAGCATGAGATAAAAATCTTTGACAAGGTTGACGTAAATTGATTTCTTTTAACTATCAATGTAGGAAGGAGTGGTTGTCGCCACTTAGGGTTACCCTAGGCCTTTATAAATACTCTTCCCTCTATGGGAATAAGGACATATCATAACTCATACTGATCACACCCCGTATACGCTTATACCCAAGCATATCGTTCATCTGCGAAGCCTCCTTCTTCACGTGAGCATGACTCCTAAAACCACAGTAAAACACCACCGTACAAGGCTTTTCACTGTCGTGGGAAAGCCCTAACCACCATACATTGTAATATACCTACTAAAGCCTTTGAGACTCCCTTACATTACAGGAAGAACACACACACATGTATTTTTTGACCAGTACAATGGCGCCCACCATCAAGTTCTGGTAACCTTAACCTGGGCCACACCATCTTCATCACCCTCACCTTGTCGGTTGTTACCCTTCACTCTTACACCTAATGACTTTCATCCATAGTTCCATCCCTTACGCCAGAAGGTACTAGAGGTAGCGGAGACGACGATGCCTTGGAGGAGATGCGTGCCGCCATGGACGAGTTATGTCGCCTTATCCAGACACTAGAGGATGACGTACACAATATCATATAACATCAATAGGAGTCCAATCCCCTAGAATAGATATAAATTTTGGATCCTCGTCTACTCTCAAACAAGATATGTGCGGCGTCTGTCTATGAGGGCTTCAAGCCTCCCTCCCTGACCAAGTTTGATGGGTGTAGTGATCCCTATGAGCACGTTGCCTCCATTAATACACAAATGACCATCATAGGAGCGATTGACTCCATGAATTGTATGATGTTATCTAGAACTTCTAGAGATGCCTCCTTTTGATCGTATATGTATTTATCATGTGCCACCATCAACAACTTTCTAGAACTAGTAAATAAGTTAGTACACTAGTTTGCTGTCAGCAGCCACAAAAAGATGTCTACCACAAGCATGTTTAACATACACCTAGGTCCATCAGAATCACTAAGGGACTACCTCACACACTTTAACGCGGTCCCCATTATGAATAAGATTTCATCTTGTCCTAGTTTATAGTTTTGATGAAGACAAACACATCAACAAAAAGAAGAGTCAAAGCTTAAAGACTAGAGCAATCAAGATGGTTGAATATGCATTACAATATATATATATATATATATATATATATATATATATATATATATATATATATATATATATATATATATATATATATATATATATATATATATATATATATATATATATATATATATATATATATATATATATATATATATATATATATATATATATATATATATATATATATATATATATATATATATATATATATATATATATATATATATATATATATATATATATATATATATATATATATATATATATATATATATATATATATATATATATATATATATATATATATATATATATATATATATATATATATATATATATATATATATATATATATATATATATATATATATATATATATATATATATATATATATATATATATATATATATATATATATATATATATATATATATATATATATATATATATATATATATATATATATATATATATATATATATATATATATATATCTTAATTACTTATAAAAATAATGCATATTCATCTTAAAACTTTCATGCATCTTTTAATATTATTTTTAAATTAACTATTATGTTTTTGGTAAATTATGGCATTTCAAACTGCCGTAATAGCTCTTTAAAACCGCCACAATTTGCATAATTTTCTCAAAATGTAAAATACTTAATTTTTGAAAATTTATCAGGTGTTATCGATTAACTATTATAAGTTAACTGATTAACACTGAATCAGTGGCCCTTTTTCATGAAAATTCTTATGCAAACAAATTTTTGAAAGCCTTTTTAAACCATGACATCTTTTTATGTATTTGTACACTTTTAGAGAGGTGTTAAGACTCTATATAAACCATATTTTTCAGAATTCAAACTCATCTGTCTTTCATAGAAATTCAAAACTTATATTCTCTCATTTTCAAAATCAAGTGTTCTTGACATAACTTTTTGTTGAAACTTCTGCACATCAATTTCATTACATTTTCAAATAGTTTCAACTACATAAATCATTAAACACTTGTACTACATATTAAGAATTACCTACTTGATAGAGAAGATCAATTCTAGAAATTGATATACATTATTATACAACTTCAAATACTTGTAAAAATATAGATTATTGTAATTTCCTTGTTGTCCGAGATTGTTCTCTTGTTGCACTTTGTAAAGATCATAAAGGGATTGTCCTTATTGGTTGTGTTGCTTATGTTAGAAGATTGCAGGATAGGTCTTGGTGGAAGACTTGTACACAAATTTGACATAGTGGAAATCTCTCACGGGGAGTGAGGGGACTGAAGTATTCTCAGATTGTGAGGGGAATCAGGATATATCATTGTGTCCTTTACTTTATGCATATATTTTTCAGCATATTTACTTTCATATCATTTCTGAAAAATAACAAAACCAATGATAACACTTCAAATTGAGAAAATTCCAATAAATATGATTACCCCCCTCTTAGAGACCGCGCATAAACTTACAATTGGTATCACAATAGATTCAAGTAATTTGCTCTTGTGATCCAGAATGGCTTCCCCAAGCCCAACATTCATAGATGGTGGAAGCAATAATAAGCCTCCATTGTTTTGTGGTGAATAATTTTATTTTTGGAAAATTATTATGAAGGCACATTTAGAAGCACAAGGAGAAGATATTTGGGATCTTGTATAAAATGGTCCATTTGTTCCTACTAGTGTTGTCGATGGCGTTGATACAAAAAAAAAGATTAAAAATTCATGGAATGAAGATGATAAGAAGAAGGTACTCTACGAAAAGAAAGCAATAAAAATACTTCAAAGTTCACTTAGCATGGACGAATTCTTTCGAATTTCTCAATGCACCATGGCGAAGGAAATATGGGATACCTTAGTAGTAACTCATGAAGGAACCGCTGAAGTAAAATGATCAAAATTGAATAGATTATATCAAGAGTATGATTTATTCAGAATGTATCCCAAAGAATCATTATTTGATCTACAAAAGAGATTTGTTCACATAACTAGTCACCTGATTGCTCTCGGTAAGATTTTTACTAATGATGAATTAAATCTTAAAGTTCTTAGATTTTTAACTAGGGAATGACAACCAAAGGTGACAACGATATCAGAAAAGAAGAGTCTTTCTACCATGACGTCTGTTTCCTTGTTCGAAAAACTTCAAGAACATAAAATAGAACTTGAAAGATAAGAGAAACATGAAATACAAGTAAAAGATTCAAAAGATGTTTATTAAAGACAAGATTCAAATTTCATGATAATAATCACGAGGAGGAGTCCACTGATGATGATGATAATCTTATTAAAAAGTTCTTGAGAAAAGAAAAGGAAAAGAAGATCATTCACAAAGAAGCACCAATAAGGAGAGTTATATGTTTTGAATATGGAAAAAGGGGTCATGTTAAGAGAGAATTTCCTACACTTGAAAAGAAAGAAAAATTCAAAAACAAGAATCACAAAAAGGAAAATAAAGCATATGTAGCATGGAATGACAATGAAATAAGTTTATATTCAGATGAAGATCATGCATGCAAGACATTGATGGTCTCACATGATTCACGTGATGAAGAACATGAGAAAATTTGGTACCTAGATGTAACTAATTGTTTTGTAGGTACTTGAAGATCATATGCTAGCATTTTCAAATCAAGATTGATCCTTCAAGACACAAGACCATATAATATGGTAGTTCTACAAGTTTCATTGATTAAAAAAATATTTTGAAGAAGCATCAATATTAATATCAACTTTGACATTAAATTATTATGAAGGAGATAAGTGTCTAATTTTGTGCTATTAATTTTCAGTTATAATAATATATCATTCATATATTATCACCTTGCTTTATACTTTATTATACTTTGTCTTCTTTTTTATGATGTCAAAAGGGTGAGAAATAGTAGGTATTGTATTTGTTCTTGTTCATAATTTTTTCAAGGGACAAAACCTTGAATTGTAAAAGCAAGGGGGAGATTCTAGTTGCTACTCAATACTTCAAAAAGTCACATAATGAAGCAACTCATTGATGAACAAGTTAAATTTTAAAGAATAGTTTGTCATCATCAAAAAGGAGGAGAATGTGAAGAAGAGTTCTTCTTTTACTAGGTTATAGTTTTGATGAAGACAAACATATCAACAAAAAGAAGAGTCAAAGCTTGAAGACTATAGCAATCAAGTTCAAATTATCAAAACCTTTGAAAAATTAATGGAAGAGTCAAGATGGTTGAATATGTATTACAATTCAAGTATATATAACTTAATTGCTTATAAAAATTATGCATATTCATCTTAAACCTTCCATGCATCTTTTAAAATTATTTTTAAATTAACTATTCTTGTTTTGGTAAATTATGGCATTTCAAAGCGCCATCA